GGAAAACAAGGCCACTCTCTCCAAGGATATAGCAGAGCTGGAGTCAAAGTGTGTAGACACACCTGATGCTGATCTTTTCAAAGACTTACTCACAAAAATGGCGGAATATGACATTCTGACCTCCAACGAAACAGCTCAGTCCCTGTTAAAAACACGCCATAATTATTATGAATTTGGAGATAAACCAAGTAGGTTGCTTGCTTACCAGATTAGGCAATCCTCCTCATCATTGCACATCGCCCAAATTAACACAGATATTGGACCAACCATTAACCCTCAATCCATTAACGGTCAGTTCAGGGATTTGTATGCGTCATTATACTCCTCTGAGTGCCCAGACAACGAAACGCAGTACGAACACTTTTTTAGTTCCTTAGATATCCCTTCTATCAACTCTGAAGTGGCATCTAATCTGGATGTACCATTTACAATAGACGAATTTAGGAGTGCTTTAATGTTTATGCAGAATGGGAAAAGCCCTGGCCCTGACGGTTTCCCTGCTGAATTTTTAAAAACATTTGCAGATACACTTTCACCGCTTCTACTTAACATGTTCAACGAATCGCTACAAAATGGCTCACTTCCTCTCACTCTGCGTCAGGCTACTATCTCTCTCATATTGAAAAAGGATAAAGACCCATTGTCTTGTAGTAATTATCGCCCTATCTCTCTGCTTTGTGCTGATGTCAAAATACTGGCTAAAATGTTGGCTCGGCGGCTGGAGTGTGTCCTGCCAACTATCATCTCTGCAGACCAAACAGGGTTTATAAAGAACAGACATTCCTTTCACAATGTCAGACGACTGTTTGATATTCTGTATTCACCAACCACCTCTGACGACCCGGAGCTGGTCATCTCAATGGATGCTGAAAAGGCATTTGATCGTGTGGAGTGGCCCTACCTGTTTTACACACTGAAATGTTTTGGCTTTGGCGATACACTTATATCTTGGATTAAGCTTTTGTATACATCCCCCCTTGCTTGTGTTCGCACAAATAATGACTACTCTGACTATTTCTCCCTCAACCGTGGTACCCGACAGGGCTGTCCACTCTCTCCATTACTTTTTGCCATTGCCATTGAACCTCTAGCAGTAGCTCTTAGGGCCAGTCAGATGTTGGGCATCTCAAGAGGTGGCATGGAACATAAACTATCCCTGTACGCCGATGACCTCCTGGTCTTTCTTTCTAGCCCAGACAAATCTATCCCTATTGTACTGACCGTGTTGAAAGAATTTGGGCAAATCTCAGGTTATAAATTAAATCTGCATAAAAGCGAACTTGTGACAGTTAATGCGGCAGCCATAGCCCATCCCCTCTCCGAGTTACCATTCAGAACATCGCTGGAGCACTTTAAATATTTGGGTGTATGTGTAACTAAAAACTATTCAGAACTATTTGAACGTAACTTTTCCCCTCTCTTAGCTAGGCTGTCCCAAGACATCCATCGTTGGTCACTCTTGCCTCTGTCTCTCGCTGGTCGTATACATTGTATTAAAATGAATGTGCTGCCCAAGTTCTTATATCTATTCCAGTGTATACCTATTATCCTCCGGAAACACTTTTTCCACTCTCTTGATAGCGTAATCTCACAATTGATTTGGAACAAAAGCACCCCTAGAATCAAAAAATACATTTTACAAAAGCCTAAACAGTTGGGTGGCCTTGCTCTACCCAACTTCTTGCTTTACTATTGGGCTGCAAACATTAGAACAATATTGTACTGGTGTCACACCAGCAGCCAGCCTCCATCATGGCTGCAGGTTGAAGAAGCCTCATGTAGTCCCTCTTCTCTGTTGTCCCTGCTGTGCCTCCCCCCAACATCGTCACCAACGTCACACTCCAGGAGTGTTGTAGTGAAAAGCTGCCTTAAAATTTGGAATCAGTTCAGGCAGCACTTTGGGCTACAGATAACACCTGTCTCTGCCCCAGTACATTCTAACCCTCTGTTTACTCCATCAGTCATTGACAGGGCTTTTTTGATCTGGAAAGACCTAGGGATTGTTTCAATAAAACAGCTTTACATCAGTGGCATATTTGCTTCCTTCGACCAGCTAACTCAAGCTTTCAATTTGCAGCGCACTCATTTCTTTAGATATTTGCAAGTCCGCAATTTTGTTCGCAATCATTTTCCTGGCTTCCCTGCCCTCCCTCCTTCTACTCTTGTTGATACAATACTTGATGTTAACCCTAATCGCAAAGGTTCAATTTCCATACTGTATAATACTCTTCTCAAAAATCAGTTAACAACCTCTGATTCTTTGCGTAATGCTTGGTCTGAGGAGCTTGGTGAGGATATAGACCCTGCCACCTGGGAGCATGCTCTGAGGTGGGTCCACTCATCGTCTATCTGTGCTCGCCATGGAGTTTTACAGTGCAAAGTGGTCCACAGAGTTCACTGGTCTAAATGTAGGTTAGCTCATATCTACCCTGACATTGACCCAAACTGTGACTAATATCATCAAGGACCAGCCAATCTCAGTCATATGTTCTGGTATAGCCCCACCCTTGCTCCTTTCTGGGCTTGTGTTTTTGACTCCCTCTCAGCCATCACATCTGCCAATATCCGACCCTCACCATTACTCGCCCTGTTTGGTGTCCTACCCACTGGCCTCTCACTGCCGTCCTATTTTGCTGAGGTTGTTGCCTTTCTCACATTGTTAGCAAGACGTGCCATTCTGCTGCGGTGGAAAGGCCCTTGCCCCCCCTCTCATTCTCAATGGATAAAGGATGCCCTTCATTTTATGAGGGGGTGGGAGTTCAGGGTAAACTGTCTCTTTGTTGATACCTTGTTCCACAGTATTCAACTGTGTATCAATCTCACTCCATGTAGGAGGTGTATTGTATGTCTGTTGTGCTCAAAATCTCATAAATAAATCATTAAAAAAAGGGCATGTACCTTGTAGTTATTAAAAAGGGTAGACCGTAATAGCCCACATGTACCAGTGAATATATATGAAGACAACCAGGGAGCAATAGCTCTATCCAAAAACCCTGTATCCAGACAGAGAAGCAAGCATGTAGACATCAAATACCATTTTGTACGATCTGCACATGCTGAGGGGAAGATATCTATTACATATTGTCCTACTGCAGATATAGCTGATGTCCTAACCAAGCCGTTGACAAAGGCACAATTTGACAAGTTCAAAGGGTATTTGTTTGGAGAGTAATGTGAGGTATACAAATTGAACACTGCTAGAGAAGCTTTTGTTTTGTTTATTTGGATTCTGTGTACTGTACCACTGTAGAGTTATCAACATGTCTTTGAGTGGGAGTGTTGAGCATATTTGTATAATAACAAAGTGTGTGTTTCAGTTCATGTGTATGACATCATCAGAATGTGCCTGAAACGTGGTGATGCTAATGAGCATGCGCAGTTACAATAAACGGCCCAGTACTCCAGGCCAAACTCTGAGCGATGTGGTCGTGTGTTTCTTCTGTCCGTTAGCATACTTACAAGCTACTTTGGTTGACTGCAAACGTGGAGGCTTCTGCAGAATATAATGTCTCACGCAACAAGGCTCCAAGTCAAGCCACAAGCAGTTTACACTGTATCCCAAGATGTGTATTAAAATTAAAAGTAACAATTTATATTAAGGTACACAAATTCACCATCAACTAGTTGTTAATTAACATACATAGCAGTATATTGGCTCTTTATTGGTCATTATAAAACACTTAATGCCTTATTCTACATGACCATATTCTACAAGTAATAAGCCATTAGTTGAGTGTTTCCTCAATAACCCTCTAATTAGTGCTTATTTGTTGCAAGTAAGGAAGTTGTTGTACATGAGTTTTGGTCTTAATATGCTCTGCTCAATATGGGTCGAATAAGGCAGTAGTACCACAAGAATAGTAATTCTCCCATAATAACACAAATATGATCTATTCTTATGTAACAAGACATGAAACTATAAGCGTTAATTGTGTCTAAAATGAGGTATGTCTATCTAAGAATATGTTCTTTAAAGTGAAGTCTTGTTCATAACCAATAAGCTAAAGTTGCCTCCTCTTCACACTTTGTAAATACATTATAGAACACAACTACTGAAATGAACCTCAACAGTACATGAACAAAGTAGGCACACGTTGAAATATCTGTTTTATTAATGAACCACTAAAACATGTCAAGTTTCTCCAAGGCTGAGAACACATAATGCAGCCTGTACGTTTGAATAAAAACAGATTTTTAACAAAGTTTATATATTTGTGATCATACTGTGTGTGACCTGCTTGTATGTACTTGCACAATAGGTGAAAGGTGGTTGTGTTTTTGACAAGACTAACAGTGTGTAATCATTACAAGTGTGTGTATAATAGATCATATTTGTTATTTGCAGCTGTTATTATGGGAGAATGACTATTCTTGTGGTACTACTGCCTTATTAGGCCCATATTAAGCAGCGCATATTAAGACCAAAACTCATGTACAACAACTTCCTTACTTGCAATAAATCAGCACTAATTAGAGGGTTATTGAGGAAAAACTCTCAACTAATGGCCTACGTTATAAAGTGTTTTATAATGACTAATAAAGGGCCAATATACTGCTAATATGCATGTTAATTAACAACTAGTTGATGGAGAATTTGTGTACCTTAATATAAAGTGTTACCAAATGAAATGTAACCTTTTGGGCAGACAGATGAACAGATCTCAGTGCTGCCATGTTCTAAAGGAACTAAACAATTTAAGCTTAATCATTCCAATAAAATGGCTCATATTTAACTCGCCAATGCACATGGCTTCTGTGGGTCAGTGTTTCTATGTGGTGTGGTGAGATGACCCTAAATAAAACCTGCTCTGAGCAACTCCTTCCAACGCAACTGAAGTCAGATCATGACTGGCATCCTGTAGACTCCAGCTGCTTCAGAGGGAACACATGTAGTCTCTTATTTATAAAAAGGCCCATTGAGGACTAGCAAACTAGTCTTCAGCTGTGAAGGTATGGGATTAGTCCCTGGTCCATGATATGCACAAAATAAATGACAAATATGATTATTCACCAAGTTTTTTTAATGAGGTAGGTGATTATAATAAAAGATAGAAAACAATATAATACCAGAGTTCAGGTTATCAGTCTGTCACCATGCTATCTGCAGTTATGAACCTTTAAGAGAAGAAATAATAATAATAACAAACACATAGCAGCTGTAATAAAAAGTTGCAACAGAACATATGAAATGTTATGGACCCTTAATAAATGTTCATCAGTCTAAGCATGCTAAACTGCTGACATGCTTTTGGAGAAGGACCTCAGCAACATAACAGCAAGACTCATTCTACAGCATACAGTATATGTGTGTACAGTATATACAGTTCATCTGCTGTTGCTCTATGCTTCATACTGTCAATTCAATCAAATCAATGGATCATTTTCTGCAGGTCATCTCCACAGTGTAATAAGGTGGTTCCTCTGTGCTCCGTCTGTGACCCTCCCCACACAACCCCACTGCATTATAAAGCGTTTGGTGTCTGCTTCCGTCATGTCACAGGATCAAACGGTAGAAGACCCAGCATGCCAACATGACCCAGTGACTGGCCCAGTTCAGTTCGGACCACCTCTGGACGGTGTGGATGGCAGTGTAACCCTGTCAACAGGAGACAAAAACAAAACATTACACACACACACACACATCTCTGTCTCATGTGAGTGTGCTGTGAAACAATAATCACTATAACATTGAAATACAATTCTCAAAAAGTCACTGCAGAGAAAACCAAGCCGTTGATTGGATTAGGGGCCAGTGGTTCCCAAACTTTTTCAGTCGGGCCCCCCTTGGGTATTGTAAATATTTTCGGGACCCCCCAACCCGGTTCCCATCTATATTGGTAGGATTAATTGTATATTGTTGTAAAAACATTACATTTTCTTTGCTAATAATAAGAAGATACAAAGATCCAACTATCATTTTATATTTTATTATGGATTACACATGAACAAAAGTGAAAAATAGATTTTTAAATTCAAATTTCTTTAAGGGAAATATATGAATGAACACTGAACTACTATTTCTACTGCAGGTTGCAAACGATCACATCACTATACAATATCCACACAAAGCCTATCAATGACTTGTGTGTGCTTGCTTTCTCTCGCAGATCTTCTCAAAGCGGGGCTGTTGTTTTGAGACAGCCACTCTCAGCTCATTCTCAATGTTCAGCTTTGATCTGTATTTGGTTTTGATGGCAGCAACAGCTGAAAAGCCTGTCTCACACAAGTAGGATGTTGCAAAAGGCAGCATTATGCCCACAGCTCTCTGACCAATGAGAGGGTACTCCTCCACTCCAACCCAAAACCCAGCCATGGTCCTGGATTTGAACAGCAGCCTCATGGTTGAATCTGAAGTCATTTCAATGTACTGTTCCTCTTCTGCAGTGCTGAACGTGGTAGGTGGGGTTGCAACAAATGGATCTCTAATCCAGTCGTATTTGGCACCGTCATCCACAGAGAAGTATTTCTGGAAGCTGACTTTCAGGGCTGAGATGTAATCTCTCATACATGGGAACGCTGCGTTCTGCAGCTCATTGGTCTCGATGAATGCCTTGAGATTCTCAAATGAGTCGATATCCCCACGTTCTAGTCTCCTGCCCCACATGTCCAGTTTCCGTGTGAAGGATTGTATCTTGTGTGAAAGGTGTGTATTGTTGCCCTGCAACTGCAGATTCAATTCATTTAGGGGATAGCAAGTTCGAGTCCCACTGCAGTCAGCATGTCGTTGTGTCCCTGAGACACTTCACCCCAAATTGCTCCTGTGGGGATTGTCCACAGTACTGAATGTATGTAAGTCGCTTTGGATAAAAGCGTCTAACAAGTGACATGTAATGTAATGTCATTTAGCTTCACAAACATGTCGCTTAGGTAGGCCAGTTTCATGAGGAAGTGTTCATCATTAAAACTTGCTGGCAAGATCGTTCCCCTCCTCCTCCAAGAAGATTCTGATCTCATCTTTAAGCGCCAGCACCCTGGACAGCACTTTTCCGCGAGAGAGCCATCGGGACTCGCTGTGAAAAAGAACAGCTGTGTACTCGGAGCCCATCCCCTGGCACAATGCGGACAGAAGACGAGCTTTCAGTGGTCTTGTTTTTGATGTAATTGACGGTGGTTATAACATCGGACAAAACGGCATTAAGCTCCGGGCTCAGCTGCTTTGAGGCGAGTGCCTCTCTGTGTATTAGACAGTGCGTCCACACTGCTCTCGGTGCAACGCGCTTGATGAGCGCCTGTAGCCGTGTTCCTGCCATAGCCCGGGCACCGTCTGTGCAGATCCCCACACAGTCCTCCCATTTCATTTCAGCTTCACTCAGACAGGTGTCGATTATTTTGAACAGTTCATCAGCTGTTGCTCTCTTTCGGACATAGCTGCAAAATAGCAAATCCTCGCTCAGCTCATCTGTATCCACGTATCTGACATACGCAATTAACAGACAGTCCTTGTTACTGTCTGTAGCCTCGTCTACCTGGAGCAAAGTGTTTGTCTTTTACTTTCTCAACAAGCTGCTCTTTCATGTCTTCTGAGATTTCATCAATGTGTGTAGCAATAGTGTTGTCGGACAAGGGGATGGCTTTGAGTTTTTGGGCAGTTGCCTCGTCAATTAAAGTTGAAACCATATCTATAGCGCAAGGGAGTATGAGCTTCTCAGCGATGGTGTGTGGTTTTTTAGACTTGGCGATACGATATGCCACTTTATACGAGGCAAGTTGAGCATTAGATGTGACAGATGCTGTTTTAACAAAGCAGATCTGCTGACCACGATATTCTTGTAGTTTTCTCTGAAAGAAATCGAGAGGCTTGTTCACATCATTGGGGTGTGTGGTCTCCAAGTGACGTTTCATCTTGTTTGGTTTCATGCTCGCTACTGCTAAGGTTTTGAGACAGAGGACACACACTGGTCGTTCCTCCCCACATACCACGTTAGATGTGAAGCCAAGGGAGATCTATGACTCATCATACTTTCTTGATTTGGGCTTAGTTGCTGCAAGGCTTGTCGTAGGCTCATCCACTTTTCTTTTAACTGACGGCCGTGTTCAACTCTTCTCCATTTAGATTTATTTTTGAGCAGTGTTTGTTTAAAATTTCTTCCCGTGCCCCCCTTGCCGTACCCCCCACAGTTTGAAAACCACTGGATTAGGCTAATATCAGAGACGGTCCTGTATTCTAAAGCAGGGATGTCAAACATACACATATATATATATATATATATGTTTTAGAATACAGGACCGTATATATATAAAGAGAGATTGTATACATTTACAAGGTAGGGGGATAACTTAAACTTCTTCCTTCATAGTTCCCACATTAGTTGTTATGCTGGTGTGTCAGGATTACTGTACACCTGTGGAAATGAATGTTACATCATTTCAAGATCTTGAAAAGATGTTTTGATCATAAAGTAAAATCCTATAGTGTTCAGTTTTGTGTCTTTGTAGATACAGTGTGATCTCTAACAGTCATTACATTTTTTTTTAATTGTACTTAAGAAATGTCAGGTTGTAATGTTTTGTAAAAAGATATGTATTTTTTGCACTTAACCAAAGGGAACAATTTGGAGTTGTGGTTATGTATGGGTTATTCTGCTATGACGTTTCTGGTCAGGCCCACATGAGATCAAATGTGGCCGTAAACTCAAATGAGTTTGACACCCCTGATCGAAAGCATCCATCCGTTATCTGTTAGCAGTTCTCTGCTCACTAACTCAATAAGACACTTGTGCACAGATGTTTTCAAATAAAAGCATTCCAGCTACTAAAATGTCTTGATCCCTCCCTTCTACTTATAACATGAGCCTCTGTGACCTGCACTATATCTTGCTTAATACAGTATGTTAATGTTCCTTATCCTCCAGTTGCTCTCACCTCTTCTACTTCCTGTTCATCAAGTCCAGGATCAAACATAGAGCCCAGGTAGGTGAGGTGGAAGATGGCTAGGAGGCTGAAAACCAGGTTCAGCAACATCACCCAGTAGTCCTGCACACAAATGAAGAAAAAATAACTGTGAAACAGACACAATCTTTTAACCCTCGATATTCTGTTGGGAAGCTGGCCTGACTCTTTAGACCAGAAGAAGGCTAAACAATGCTTTGTTTGGTAACTCTAAGAGACCCAAAGAAGCATCAGCTCACCACTGGTTCAACATTATTTAGTCATTCATCTGTAATAAACATTGTCTTTTATTTAGCCATCTATTCAAATGTTAAAAATGTAGAAAGTGTCATCATTTCATTACAATTGGCAGTAGTAGTAACAGTAGTTTGAAACAGATGAAATGCTGTTAAAGCACTGATCTAAAGTTGTCCTCTTCAGTTGCTGGCCTGGGTTTGTCACCGTCAGATTGAAGTTGAAAAATATAAAATGTAACATAGGCATTCATATTCCACCTGCAGCTGTTTCTCTGCAAAGTTAGGATTTATAAAAACTAAGCTTGACAGGAGAACGTGTGGTCATTCACAGAGACCTCGACACATACGTGTAACTGAAAGAAGGAGAAACGTTCTTTTGTAAAGCCAATCTTACAACGAATAAATAAACACCTGTTTGACACTCCCTATGTGCAAAAACAAATACAGATAGAATGCTAAATATCACCAGAGATAACAGGTTTTGCAAAAGAACCTCTCAAATGTGTTCTGCAATTGATAAACAGTACTTGCACGTTATGAAATGTACTCTTACAAGTCACAAGGTGAACATTGGAACACTTTCAAACGGTTACATTTACCATGAGACAGTTTGGGTGCCTCAGCAGACACATACGAGTGCAGAGAGCTCCACAACATCTTCAATTCAAATCTATGATATTAACACTATTTAGGTGGAGGCTTCAGATAAGGCCAGAGGGTGTGATGATTAAAGTGTGTTAAAAGGGGACAAATTCTTATGCTGATTCATTTATATCAATCTATCTTTAAAATGATATGCGTAGAGCCCAATATGACAAATTACAATTGGCTCCGGGAGCTTTACAGTCTGCAGCATAGACCCTTCAGCGGCCCAGATCAATTCCCCTGAAACTGTTCATCATGGCAGCCATAACTGCTTTACAACAGATGCACAGAATTTGCCGTTGATAAGTAGATGTCTGTTTTGAGCGAAGCTGTACCTTCTTGTGCTGATGGCTGCAGTCGGGGGGGCAGGGCCTAGAGAGGACACAGGCACTGAAGATGGAGGCAAGCTTTTTTCTCAGAACTGAGGATGAGAAAAATCAACAACCTTGTTCATTGAGGTGTGAGAACCAAACCCCATTAAAGCAATCACACATGCTGGGAGCACCTACATGGGAAATGTAGTCTTTGTTAGCCTCTTGACTACAGAGGTCATGATAAGGTGAACATATTTGCCTTTTTTTACAAAAAACTAAAGACTGGCTATAACAGTAATAGTTATGTTCAATAGATAAACGTTCTCTCTTGAAAACTCCTATTAACAAAGCTGATATGGAAATGGAGGATTTAAATACATTCCTCTTTAAAACTTCACAAGATGAAAGATGAAAGCAGCAGCACACACACAGGAGGTTCAGTGAGTGCATTCACCCGTACCATGTTCCACATATGTGATGAAGCCCAGAGAGAGCAGCACAGCGCCCAGATGGAAGCTCAGCCCCTGAGAGGGCACAGGGGGGGTTTGACAAAACCAAATCCAGTCACAATACAACAAATATACAAGACTACTACAAACAAAACAACAATTAAATATTCAAATTTGGACATAACCACTATAGGGCCACAGAGAGGCCATGAACAAATACATCTGCAGGGGAAATATATATATATATATATTACTGTGTATACATATAGTTCTAGATCTTTTTGGTGTGAACGCAAAATCCCAGGAACTATCGGAACTATTCCTGGGAAAAGTACTTAGTACCTAATGTTGATGAACTGACAGGCCCAGAGTGTTATTTGTCTGACCCGGTATGGAAGAAATAATGTTTGAGCCTCTTGTTATTGTGTCATGTGACCTGTTGTTGAAGACAGCCATTGTAGTATATCATACGTTCACAAACTATATCCTAAAATAATATTAAAAGTATATTTAAGTATACAAGCAATACCCCTAACACTGTTAAGTGTCGAGCAGAAAAGAGGCTTCCTGTCACTCACATGCAGCAGAGCGCTGGCTGTGTATGTCACCAGGATGGCAGGAAAAGTCCCCAGTTTCATGGCGTTTTTAAAGGCATCTGAAAACATGGATCATTACGCATTAAACACAACATCCTGAGGTTATAATGTACAGTATCTTTCATAAAACATGTTAATACAAAATGAGTGATGATCAATGTGAATGTTTTTGTCTAAAACCATAAGGTTTTAAATGTATTCTAATATGACAAAAAAAGCCTCACAGAGTAGCTGGAAGCAGATAATATTAGGATTACTGCTAATTAAGAAGCTGAAACCATGAACTGATTTTCCAAATGGTTGCTTAAATGTTTTCTTCCGATTGATCAAGTTATGCAGCTATAAATATGACACTGCTCACAACAGAACAGGAAGATGTTGACATGTGTTGTGTATGTATAAGGGAAGACATCTGATAGGAGCAACAGAGGAAAGGGGATAGTCTATTTGCAGCTCATAGAGTCCTTTTGTGAACCGAAATGTTGAGCACCTTAACGTTTTATGTTAGAAATATATAGTAGGGTCCACAGCTCATAAAAACTACTGAATGCTAACTTACATATGTCGGGCAATTTGCACAATTAGCTTAAGTTGCGTAATTGATATTATAGCTTATGTCCACAATAGTAAGTAAATGGTCTGACCGATTGTGGTTTTGGAGATAGCGGAATGCATTTCGGACATTTTCAGGATCTGAAATGGCAGTTAGCATCGGGCAGTTTCTATGTGCTGGGGACCCTACTATACATTTCCAATATAAAACTTTGGGGTACTCAACATTTCCAGGTTCACACTGCTAGCAACTAGACTAAAAGGGGGATCATCCTCTGGGGATCATGACTGTCTGTCAAAGGTCTCCCCTCCATGGATCAGTGAGTGACGTTAGCCTCCAGCAGGTTTTGTGTGTCGGGCAGCAGGACTGAATCTTTCTGAAGATGTACGCACTTACAGGTTTTCAGCCATCGAGACATGGGAATGTTCCAGGAAGTCACCACCAGCACCATGGAGCGGGGCATCTCCACACTGAGAGGCTTCACCACACTCATGTCCCTGCACAATAATCACAGAGACACATTTTATGCCCAGTAACTCATCATTTCACTCTTCTTCTACCACACTAAATGGACCGATCGCATACCGCCAACTTCAGTCAAGAGGAATACGACATTATAAAAGAGACCTATAAAGGAAAATATATATAAATACACAGCACAAAAGCATCACTTTTGCATTATTAGAAAACATTTATCAACTAATTCATATGGAAAGGGAATCCAAACATGTAATATTATTAAGAAATACAGGTTTTGTTTCTGAGAGACTGCAAAAAAGGTGTGAACTTTGTAGTGAATTATTGGTGACTTCAGCATCATTATTACAGAAGACGTTGGAATCCTGCAGGACAGACCAGCAGAAAGTCAATTACTATTATCAATAAATAAAGGTTCTCGTTAGCACAGGTTTGGCCGCTGAATACCTTACAATGTGTCTGATGAACAGGTCTACCTCTACAGTGAAGTTCCCCCCTGCTCAGCTCTTACCATCTGATGTTGTCCTTCTCTTCAGTGGCCCCCGCTCCAGCCAGCATGCTGGTGCCTTCACTGAGGTGACCCACAAAGTAGTTACTGAAGTGGAAGGACACTGCGTTCTCATACGCATGCAGCCACCTGTGCACAAACACAAAGACACACATTACGTTTACTCAAACACGGTTATCACTTTCACTTAGACTTCCTGTAAGAGGACATCTTAACCCCCTTTGAGTGTAACTTCAGTACTTCCTTATGAACAGATAACTTAAAAAGGCACTAAAGTAATCTGATAATCCAACACAGGTGACAGAATGTTTCATACTTGGGGCATACGATGACATATGATCCATCTTCATCTAATGATGAAGACCATGAGGGACGTGGGAGCTGATGAAGTGAGTGAATGAGCGAGTGAGTGAGCTGACCCTGAGACCAGGATGTTTTGCCTAAGGAGTAGTTAACTGAGGGCCCGTTTACATGGAGACGGTTCGGGTTGTATCTGCTACTTTCGTATAGACGGTTCGTCCACACGAGGCCGTAACGGAACCAGGGAAACGGACCCCTCAAACGATAACGGGTCCCAAGGTGGGTAGATCTGCGGACGGAACGCTCTGGGGGTCAAACGGCTCCGTGTGTACGCCTATACGCCATAGCCCCGCTTCTCCCCACCTCTCCTGCTCACCCCCGTGTCACCCGCTGATGTGTTTCGCCAACAACAACAACCGAGTGTTTCGAGCCAGGTCCCGGTATCTCGCAGGACAGTGCACCCAGCAGGAGCCTCCAGCTAGATTTGATCGATATGGACATAAACGCGAGTGAAGTCTAATCGGACGGGAGAGAGAGATCAGAGATCAGCTGCTGCTGACGGAGACACGCAGCTCTGCATGATCACCTGCAGCTCCGCCTGCTGTGATGGAGCGATGAGTGGAGCAAAACACACACTTCAAGTTAGATCCTCACCCTCAGCTATTTGAATTACCTCTCAAACTACCTAAACTAGTTATAAACATGTTTATGTTTATGTTTAGTCGGGTCACTCATTACTGGATCAGCCAGCTGCATGAGACGGATACTGACGGGCTGTCAGAAGAGAGGGAGGAAAAGAGAGGCTCCGTTTGTTATTCTTTTAAAGCTCAATAAATAACAAAGAAGACCTCTGACCTGCACTTTTCTAAACGGACATGTTGACCAGTGAAAAAAACAGAAGGGCAACCATGCTTGGGAGGTCTTCTTCGCTGCTTTTGGTGTATTTTAGTACATGTGCCGGGCCACTTACAGGCCCGGCACATGTACTACAGCGTCTCCAGCGGTCTCGTGTGGAAGGACACGTTTATTGAGCCGATTGCCTGTGAACATTTCTCCGTGAAAATGGGGCCTAAAATACCTTACTACTGATAACTACCAAGCACAGGACTCTTGTTTGAGTTTTTGTCATTACAAACATTTGATCTGTGAGCTTTGTTACACACGACATGTCTATCTGTTTTGGTTTGGTTCAAACCAGACCAGAAGAGGTAGGTATGATAGAGAGACAGACTGACCTATGAGTAGATAAACATGTGCTGACAATGGAAGCATTTATCCATCATCCAATACCACATTTTTTGTATTAACACACTTCAGTTGTTCTATGGAAGCCTGTGGGAAATCAGCAAACTCTAACCCTGAAAACAATTCTTACCTTTCTCAAATGTATCTTGGAAGCAGGGAGAGAAAGACAGAAAGCATGTTCACAAACCAGTGTATTGTATTGACTCAATGTCTTAGTTGAGGAGGATAAAGATGTTTTTAAAAGGTGCCTTACTTCTGTGTGATTGTGTTTCCATGGATGGGGATGAACAGAGGGAAGAGGTAGGGGGCGACACAGGTGGAGACGAGCAGGCAGACCTGACTCTTCAGGAGGCAGAGGGAGGAGCTGCCCAGCCAGCGCCAGCTCTGAGGAACAGACAGGGCGGTCAAACATGGGCATCGCAGCCATTATATGAGGGTGGGACAAGTCCCCCCCACTTTTTCAAATGATTAGTTTAGACCCCCCCACTTTTACCATGTGGAAAGTCCGTGAATCTGTCTCTCCACTCGCCGCACTCTGTAGAGCGCTGTGTCAGTGCTTCACTATCAAATCCATTCCACTTGCTTATTGAGAGAATGCCCAAATCAATGAAACTCCGTACCATGTTTTCACTGCTGCTTTGTACCAAGGCATATTGTCCCATAGCGCGCGCATGTTCAAGGAGTGTTGCCATAGTTGGACAGCTCAGATCTGTTGTATGAAGCGATGCCGGTAGCGGAGGTAAGGCACACACACCAAGTGTTCAGGACATTGTTAATACAGCGAAAATCAAAGCTGACGATCTCTTGGTTTGATATGTTTTCTCCCCCAGACAACATGGATATAAGAACATTTTTTTCGAAGAAGAGTACAGTAAGTAATGAGCTGGTAGCAGTTAATCAGTTAACAGTGATGGCGGCAAAAGCGTCTCACTTCTGGAGAGGAGTTTCGTCTTTATGTCATGATAGAGAGATACAAATACTGAATAGTTCAGATGAGAAAAGGCATCGAAATGCCAGGTTACTAGTATTTATCATGTAAACAGGGAACATGAATAACACGATCTCTCTGTGCTCATGTAAACACCATGATGTCCATGTAGAGACGCAGTCAGTGTGTTTTACTGGAGCCTCAGTTCGATAAGAGATTATTTTCTGAGTTCTTTAACTTCGGTACTCTCTCTCAAAATGGTAATGTGCATTATGTTTTAATTATACATCTTATCATTCAGAAGCTTTTTGTGTGTGTTTATGTTTTACTGAGTGCTTATAGGCCATTTCCATCCCAGTATTCAGTTAACTATTTATTTTATGTGCACATTACATAGACTAGCTAATATTCTACCTACTGCTTGGGACTTTGAGTCTTCAAAATGTCCAATGTCACAGACGGGGACTTACTTTAGAGTCAGTTGTATTTACATTCAGTATGACTTGTTATGATTCAATGTGAAAGAGTATACTGCTCAGTAAATAATGATCACTTCACCACCTCTCTTGACATCTAGGCGCTTGAGAGTGAGTCAGAGGCAGAACACAGGGACAGTGGAGAGAGGTCCGTTGCTGAGGTGAGTGATGAAAGGGAAATGACAGTTTAGAGTCAATTGTGATGTGGACTCTCATCCCAGAATTTTAAGGAAATCAGTGGGGATATTGAACAGGAAACATTTCAGTCAAGGGGAATCATGTGACCAATATAGACAGAAGAGCAACATTTAAGTCAATGATACCATTCCTAGGTGAACTTAACATCTGTATGGAGTCAGATCAGTCTCAATATTAATAAATGCTCACAGAAGGATTCACAAATGTATTTTGCGATTTATATATAAACGACTCTCCACAACAATATCTCTCAATGCACTCATAAATATTTATTGTTGTATATAAATGTACAAAAAAATGGGCATTTAAACTGCTTTTTATTCATTCAAAGACGGCTCTGAATTAATAATCAAATAGGTTTCCTTTCTTTACTACTGGATGCAATTACAAAATGTACCCATCATTTTCCTCATGCTAGTATAGCCACATAAAAGTATCAAACCACCTGTTAAAATGCACCAGAATACAGGAAATCTATTTTATTTTCGTGGTGGGGGACCCCCACACCCCCCGTTAAAAATGTCCCCCCCACATTCAGTATGCTTCCTACTCCCATGCGGTCAAATGTCAGTTTATCTTAGGAACCTTCCTTACGGAGTGAAATGACCTGGAAGTACCTCAGTGGCCGCCATGATAAGAGCTGTTAGAATTCTCTAGTCTAGTTCAGTGGTTCTCAAACTTTTTTCAATAATGTACCCTTTGAAAAAAAGATTCAGCCAAGTACCCCCTGATCAGCGCAAAAACTATTTGTTAAGGAAAAAATGCCTATATAAAGAGGTACAGTAAAGTGCTGCACCATCATGTCTGATTTATTAAAACAACAACATTGTAACTGAGAAACACTTAAATGCTACATTTCAAATGTTTACAATTGTTACGTGCCGCAGTTGGTGCTTGTGTGTGTGTGCTTGTGGGGGTCTCTCTCTCTCTCTCTCCCTCTGATTGTCTCCAGGTGCAGCCTCTCCCCAGGTGCTCCCAATCCCCAATCAGCACCCCCATAAAGGACCTGAGGAAGGCTGCAGTCGTTCTCCCCTTCTCCTCTGGCTGCATGTGTGCAGCCTGTGTTACGTGCTGTAGTGTAGTGTCTCTGTGTGAGGCCTAGGTGAACCTGTGTTCTGCTAATTGTTAGGAGATGTGCTCCAGTGTGTATTGGTGTATTGTTTTATGTTAGTCACTTTCTTTTGAAAGAAAGTTGTCCTTAGTTAAGTTTGTTTTGCAAGTTGGCTGGTGAAACCTTTTTCTTTTTGTTAATTAAAAGACCTGCTTATGGCTTCAGAGATCAGTTTCCTCTCCTTTTTCATGCTGTTACTTTCCTTTGTGCCCCTGGATCTAAAAGGGAAGTAACAGCAATCCATCACTAAATTCATGGCAAACCAATTTTAACATCATGCAATAACACTGAGATGACATTAGTTGCATTGAACTGATCTTTTTGATAAGTTGTACTTACAGTAGTGTAGTGAAACATGGGCTTGAGCTTCACTGAGGATCTTTGTCATTCTGACAGGGAGGCAACCTGCAGTTATTACACTCTGCATTTTGAAATATGTGTAACTCTGTTCATATAAAACCCACACTGCTCCAACTTCGTTACTTTTCCTAAAATTGGTATATTTATTTATTTATTTTGGGGCGTGGGGAATGTAGAGAAAAAGATATATGAGCATTTTATGAGCATGGGATTTTGACCCCTCATATAAACATATGCATAATGCTGCGCTATACTCTGCGGCCACACGCCGTTGCCAAGCAACGCTTATTGTTTAGGTGTCCTTTGAAAAGCAGGCAGTCATATCATTAACTAGAACTAGCTAGATCTGATAGATTTGGACATAGACGCGAGTGAAGTCTAACCGGACGCGAGAGAGAGATAAGATCAGCTGCTGCTGATGGAGAACACGCGGCTCTGCATGATCACAGCTCCGCCGCTGTGACGGACCGTTGAGCTGAGCAAAATACACTAAGTTAGACCTAACACACTTAGCTAGTTTATCTACTCTGGAACTAGCTAAACTAGTTATAAATATATTTATTTTTTACTGTCGGGTCACTTATTACAGGTTCAGCGAGCTGCACGAGACTGACGGGCTGTCAGGAGAGGGAGAGGAAAAGAGAGCACCCCCGTTCCGTTTTTTTTCCTACATTAACATAAAATAAATCTCACGTACCCCCTGCAGTACTCCAACGTACCCCTAGGGGTCCGCGTACCACCCATTTGAGAACCACTGGTCTAGATGATAGGAAAGGAGGTTTGAAACTTCCTTTAGCTTAGGAAACACTGGACCTTCCTTTACGAAAGGAAATGCTGTCCCACAATGCCATGCGGCTGCAACATTTATCGTGACTTTGTTTTGAACACTATTCAAATACATAATAAGTTAACATTTCACAGTGTTTACTGAGCGGAATGGGGTGAGCCACAATAAGTTTCACTTTACTTTTTTTATTTAAGTTCAGATCTTGGTAATAAAGAGTATATTTTTCACTGTTGTCCACGTTCATAAAGCCGGCATGAAACCCATTATAACACACGGTGCAAAGTCTTTATGTGCTCTTACAGTAGTCCTCTGTACAGACAACTGTAGTTTCCCCACAGCAGACGCACATTCATTTCTTCCTTTTGCGCATCATGAATACGTCGGATAGTGTCAGTGCAGTCGGATTCTCAAAGCACTCTATTCCTGAGTCCTGACGTTTCTTACAGAGGTCAAGGAATAGTGGTTAGGAAAAGATGATGGGAGCTGATTTTAGGACAATTCGACCGCAACCACACTCAACACCACAGCACTGAGCATGGAGAGCACTGTGCACACAGCTGGACAGAAGTACTCACCAGCTTTTTGCCCTCAATGGTGTTCTGATAAGTGGAGAAGCTTATCCAAGGGCCGAACACTACAGTGCCCACAAAGAGAACGTAGCCCAGGAACTGAGCTGGGGAGGGCAGGCAGCTCACGGCCCCCCTGTCCAGGTCAAAGGCCAGAGAGATGGCCTTCATGGCCACCACCATCTGAGAGCCTGAAACACACACACACACATTTTTGATTACCATTACATTTAGAAAAAAGTAACCAGATTACGGTTACCTTTTTTTTTAGAATAGAGATTACTAGCAGGATAGCAGTGTTACAACACATTTTGAACTAAAGATGGATATATTATAGGTAGACATACATTTATCTTGAATGCAGTAGGTGGACACTTGATTTATTAAACAAAAATAGAGTCCATGCTTTTGATTAATGTATTAAGCATTTGTGAACTATGACTGTTACTACATTTTGGATATGAAGTATCTTGGTTTCTTCTTTTCTACGGTTACATTGTATCATTGCTTTATTAAAAAAGATCTTATTGTTATTTATTTTCTCTTGTTTTTATTTATTTGATATAATCCAAAAGTATTGAAAGGTAATCAGGTTGCATTAATTATATATTTTGATACTCAGATTAAGTTACCGATTTTTTTTTATACATGTAACTAGTAACTGTAATTGTTCTTACTAACCCTCCCAACCCTGTTGTTAAGAAATGATATTGCACTCAAGCTCCATTCACTAAAGATGAGTGTTATGCTAAGGTGTGTAATAATCAGGGTTCATACACTTTTTCACCTATGATTTTCAATTACTTTTCCATGACTTCTCCAGGACCTTTACCTAATTTTCCATGACCAAAAAAATGACTCAGCGGTACCACTGAAAATGGTTTATTTTAACATGGAACAGGAAAATAAGGTCTGAAAAATGTAGTGCCTATCTAAAACAAATCAAATAGGCTTACTAGCTTCTACAGGCTAAAGCAACTCAAATCTCTCACCAGCAGAATACCTTGTCAGTTAAATGCCATTTTACGTTTCATTACTATACGATAAAGTATTTATTATCATTAATTATAGTATTACTATTTCGGCGATTAGATAACATCTCAATTATATTTGATGCAACTTTAGTTACATTTCCATGACTTTTCCAAAACTTTGGGAAAAATATAGTTTTCCATAACTTTTCCAGGGCCTGGAATTAGCATATTGAATTTCCATGACTTTTCCAGGTTTTGAATGACCGTAAGAACCCTGAATAACATTATCATGATGTGTTTAAAGGTCATCTTTAAAGCAATAGTAGTTTCAGCAGTGTATTGTTTTCACCCTGGGGTCCAATAGGATATTGAGAATTGTGGAATTTCGTAACGACTACTAAATGTATTGTAGAATCCCTTTTCTAAGAACTACATCCTAGGATAATATATTGTTTTTACAAATGTCATACATTACAATATTATACTTTTTTAAGATTTCCATAGCTGACAGGTTCACACAAACTTTTGAACATTGATTTTCACAGCAATAGATTTAGTACCATATGACCCATTCTCTGTTTCCTATCATAGTAAAACATATCACTGTCAGTTTTTAATTATTTTAAAGTAAAAAAACGACTGTAAAAGGATAAACATGACCTTTGATGGGAAATGGGGACATTAAATACATAGTTATGGAACTATGTGGTACTATCAACTGATTCAAATACACAACTAAACATACATCAGTGACCGTGTTCTCAGGACGACTGGTGGAATATTTACCTCTTATTTTATGCCAGGTCACCATGTCAATCAGATGCAACTCTCTGAAAGGAAGAGGGAAAAAAACAAAGATTTTACAATGTATTCTACACCAGAAATGTGTGGGTGTGCTGACTACTTATGGAATGGATATATAGAAACTATTCAGCAGTGAGTAGGAGCCGCTCTAACAGGCTGCAACTTGTTTAAGTTAAGAATTAACATTTGGACTTTAGTGGCTTTTGTGAGCGAGGCCTGAAGAGACAGGCTCTCAGTGTTTTACCCAGACTTAGCAGTTTATGGAGCTAGTGCAGACAGTTCCTTTCCTAACAGTTGGCAACATTATGCTAGGTTTTTAGTTGGACTATTTGGTGCAGTTTACTTTGCTGGCCTCTGAAACTGAAATGACTCCGGATAAAATGAAAGAACAAAACCAAGTTTAGACATTGACAATGCAATATTTCAACAAGCAATGCCAATATTCAGGCAGAACGAACAACGACATTCCTACTGGCAGACACAGCCTCACACATATGGCGCATTTCCACTGCAACGGGTAGCCCCGTTTAAGCGTCCTTAATCGTCCTCAAGCGGCCAGGCCAGGTGGTCTTTCCATATAGCCTAGTACCGGCCAGCGGGTACTTTTCCCCTCTTTTTCCGGCCCCATAAAATCGTGGTTCTATCAGACCAGGGCCAGAGCTGAACTAGTGACGTCAACACTCTCGACTGCTGATTGGTCAGAGAGAATTGTCACAAGATCGCGCGCGAGTTCATCCCTAGCGTTGCATATATATTTAGAAGCAAGCTTGCAGCATTTTTATAAACAGCATTTTGTAAACGGATGAGCTACAAAAATGGCTATGTCTAATAAGAAAAGCACACCGTGGTCGACCGAGGAGGTGATGACGTTCCTACATCTCATTGGGGATGATCAAATCCAGCGGGAGCTCGACGGAACAACTCGAAATGTGAACAAAAACAAAGCCGATCGCCCCGCCTACACTGCGTTGCTACCCCAGGTCCTAAACTGTAATGGAAATGCGCCACGGCCTGGGCCGGCCAGCGAGGCAGCCCGAGGCCTGAGCGAGGACGCTTAGGGACGCTTAAACGGGGCTACCCCGTTGCAGTGGAAATGCGCCAATAGACACACACAGCCACACACAGCCACACACAGCCACACACACACACGGCAAAATGAAGCTTTGAATGAAGCATCGAACCACTTGGACAATTGTGTCGGAAATAGGTTCATTTCTCGAAGCTTCAGTTACAGCGACCTCTCCTGGCGAAGTGCAAGGCTGCAGTGGGTTTAACGTATCTTTGCCTTGAAAAATATTCGATGCACACACTAAGACACTAAGACTGAATATCATGTTCTATTTGCAATTAAAGATTGATAATTGTGTGTATTGGGTTATTGAGCAGAGATTAGAGAGTGCTAGACATGTTTTTGGGAGGAGAGGGCCTTTTATCAGTCATTAAAGTATTAAAGTTGAAAAACAATGATTTAAAAGTTCATCCGTTCCGGGCTTTGAACCAGCTGCGCGGAGGACACGCCGCATTCGGGCCGCCGGCTCTACCCACTGGGCTATCTATTCCTTGAACTATTGAACTGTTTTTATATTACTCATAATTGTCTTTTTGTTCACAACTTCTCCACATTTCAAAGTGTTTCCCGAGCCAGAACGACCTATCTTTCTTCCTGGCTTGCTCTATAATGAACCATTTCAAATGCAATACCAACAACAACTCAACAGCAACAACGCAGACTACGACAACAACCCACACATTGCGCATTGTTTAGAGCGGTCATAAAGTGTTGAAGCGCTCAAATTTGAAACGGTTTCAACCTGTCACCTGTCAGAATCGAGACGAGGCAGTGCATTGAATCACCTGATTGGACGGCGAACCAGTCAAGTGATTCATTCAGGAAATGAAGCAGTTGCTGGTTCTGACGTCACATGTCACGTGATTTGAAGCAAGCTTCGAATCACTGCATCTATGGAATAGGAAGTCCAGAGTTGAAGCTCCGTTCGAAGCTTCAGTGTCAAACTGCCATCACCAACCTCACACAGCCTCACACAGCCACACACAGACACACACAGCCTCACACAGACACACACAGACACACACAGACACAGCCTCACCCAGACACACACACACAGACACACACAGCCTCACCCAGACACACACAGACACACACACAGACACACACAGCCTCACACAGACACAGCCTCACACAGATACACACAGACTATTATTTAGAAAGTGCTTCAGAAATCAATAACATAAATGTCTTGACATTAAATTATAAACCATAATTAATCAATTGTATAGGTCTAGCCTCCCTATATCTGTGTGTGAAATTGTTCCTCTCCTCAAAAACAATACTTCTGCAGTCTAGCTGCAGCTTCTAGCAACGGTCTTCTGTTAAATGTCCTGAATGTGGCATCACACACAGGACTTAAGTCTGAACACAGCAGACAACAGGAGTATTTACAACAGCATATACAAACAAAAATAGTGCATGTGGGTGCACACTTACATTCTCTGTCTTACTGTTGCATAAATCCCATGAATGTATGAGATTAAGTTAGCTTCATTATATCTCAATCAGTGATTAAGTGAATAATAAAGTTTCTATCGAGTCACTATCAGCCTGTCACTCATTATTTTCAGGGGGGGGGCGGGGTTTGGAGGAACGGAGAGTATTTATCTTCTGAAAATAGCAAGAGGACATTCATACTCTGCAATCCAAGACTTGATTAAATCCACCAAAAACCTGACATGATGATAACGAGTGTTTTTCACAAATCGATGTGTGTGTGTGCATGTCATCATGGCACATTGTGTACCTACAGTACCACAGAGGGGTATTTAATACTTTGTTAGGTGTTTATATTTCTGTGTGTCCGTCTGTGTACAGATTTTGTTGCCGCGACAGCACCTGGTCAAGATGGTAAGACGCGAAGAAGAGGCCATTACCCGACCACTCCCTTCTTTGTTTTAGATTTAGAAAATGATTTCAGCTTCCAGGAACATATGTGTTTTTGCAGGTTGTTTCTCACCCAACAAGGAGGTAGATGAGGATGAAGACAGAGAGGAAGACTCCTCTGCTGCTGGAGTGTCGGCTGAGGAGCAGAACCAGGTAGCAGAGCACACTGAGCAGAAGCACCCACAGCATGTGCAGCTGGAAGAACAGGAAGAGGCCGTACACCCCCGCCAGCACGGACACCACATGCTTCACAGTGGACTCACCTCCTGAGGAACATAAGCAAGATTTGATAAATGATGATAAAGCCCTCAGAGCTCGTTTCCTAATGAAGCTTTCATCGTACATCACATCATAAACCGGTTGCATTTAGGTATATTCTATCTAGCCCATTGTAGTAAACATGGATGACAGAAAATCTAATATGTTTAAAAAAAAGGCATTCTATTTCACTGTCACTTGATCTTGAATAGGAGTAGTGTTGAAATCAAGGGACATTATCTCAGTATGTTAGTACACACCATACCATCCTTTTCCTTGAGCTATATCCACATGAAATAATGAAGACGAGTGTGTCTATGAAGGCTTGCTGATAAGAGAGAGCACCCACCCAGTCTGAAGCAGAGTCTGCAGGCCAGGCAGAGCAGCAGCAGCCCCCCCAGCTGCTGCCCCCCCTGCTGCACCGTGCTGACCCCGCAGCCCTCCCACAGCTGCTGCAGCACCACCAGCCGGACAGACAGCTCCATCCTCAAGCTGCACACACACACACACAATGTATTATTACAACACTTATCAACCCATGAAACTAAGACAAAAGAATCGGGCGGCAGACACCCTATCCGTTTTTAAGAGTGCGCTTAAGACCTTCCTTTTTGATAAAGCTTATAGTTAGGGCTGATTAGATCCAGCCCCTAGTTTTGCTGATATAGGCTTAGTTTGTCGGGGGACATCTTACTTCTTCCTTCTCTCTGTCTATACCTGTGTACTCTCATGTTCCGATTAACCCAGCTTCCCCAAATGTCTTTCTTTTTGGTGTCTATATACGCCGGGATCCGGAGTCATGGATGATCCTGCGCTCCTCTGTCCTGGATCGCGAGCCCTGGATCTTGAGTCGTGGCTGTGGTCCTGGATCATAGGTCCTGGATGGATATCCTCGTGGATTCATCTTCCTATTATACACACATGCATTTCCAAACATTTGGACTACCTATGTTGCAAATGTATTATCTTTTCAATTTACACACGGCATCTATTGCACGTCTGTCCGTCCTGGGAGAGGGATCCCTCCTCTGTTGCTCTCCCTGAGGTTTCTCCCATTTTTCCCTTTAAACTGTGGGTTTTCTTCGGAAGTTTTTCCTTGTACGATGTGAGGGTCTAAGGACAGAGGGTGTCGTATTGTCATACTGATATTTTGTACAAACTGTAAAGTCCACTGAGACAAATGTAACATTTGTGATATTGGGCTATATAAATAAACATTGATTGATTGATTGAGAATTGTAAAAACCAAAGGGGTTTAGATGAATGAAGGTCTGTAAGGAAACACCTCTGAAGACCGGCCTAAGATGAGATAACACGAGATATACTTTATTGATCCCAGTTTGTGACATTGTTCGTCACATCAGCAGTAGCATATACAACACTGAATATATACATATCAGTAATAAAGGATATATATCTATAAAGTATGTGTATTGAATACACAATATAACTATACTAATGTACAGGATTGAAGGCAGTTTACATTATGATAGGCTGGCCAATCACAAACTCACAAAATGTAAACATTGATTACAATTTACATTGGCAGCATAATTACAGATTTAAATGAATTCTCAAGGGAGCACAAAGTTGAATAAAGCCTCTAACAGAAGCTTAGTCCGGCAGTAGCTCAGTCAGTAGGGGCTTGGACTGTGAGCGGACGTGCGTGACTTTGGTCTGAGGAGGAAAGAAGTGAATTGTTTGTTTTGTGGATATCTTTTGTTTCGTCAAACTTATAGTTGTGTTTTTTTGTTGTTGTTCTGAGACACCCCCAAACAGCCTTGCTGGCTGGGGGTTTCCCCTGACCTGTGTGTTTTTTTTCGATCGGACGGATAAACTGGCAAAGAAAACGGGAATGGAATTATTAACTGCGTCACGGATCACGGACATTGACAAATTACAGCAGAGTACGGAGAAAGACGGGACATCAGTGAATGAAAAAGGAATGGAAAATGACAGCGGAAATGCGAATGGCCAAAATGAAAAAACGGGAGTGGGAAAACAAAAGGAGGTGAGAGAGCTGTTTGAGTTGAATGTGGAGGAGGAAAAATATAAAAAGGAGCTTACAGTTGTGGTGACGGTGGAGAGTGGAAAAGCAGTAACTGTTATGGATTTGCTAAAAGGAGTTAAAAAAGAATGCGGAATTGTGATGGGGTGTCGGGTTAAAGGAAATGGGCTATATGAAGTGACAATGGCTGAAGAAAAAGGAAAAAATAAACTGTTGGATGGAATACGAATCAATGGGGCTTTGGTGCGGGGCAGAGACTGCATGACAAAATAGCTCACGGTGTCATTCTTAAATATACCTTCGTATATATTGGACAGTTCAATAAAAGGCAGATTGGCAATGTGGGGGGTTCTGCCTGTCTCGACAATAAAGAGAAGGATGTGGCCCGGCACTGATGTGGTTGATGGGACGAGGTTTTTGAGAGTGGAGTTCAACAAGGAAGTGCGGTCACTTCCTTACTCCACAAGGTTCGAGACTCTAGAGGGGCCGGAATACTTTAGGGTGATTCATGACAAGCAAGTACCGGTCTGCAGGATGTGCATAAGGCCAGGGCATTTATACAGAGAATGCCCTGAGTTTAAATGCCATAAATGTGCGAAACAGGGACACTATGCCCGGGACTGTGTGACTCGGGAGGAGGGGGCGAGCGGAGCCAGGGGGAGAGAAAGTGCACAGGCGGAAAATAAAGTGGAGAATGGAATGGAGGAAGAGGAAGGTGGAAGTCAGGAAGAAAGTGAAGAAGAGGATATACATGATAAGGCTGGGAGCAGGATGAACGAGGAAGCTGTGGCTGCTGTCGCGGCGGTGTTTGTGGCGGCTGATGCAAAGAGGGCAGCTGATGAGGCTGCCATGGGAGGTGGAGGAGATGGAGCGAGGAAGAAGGGGAAAGCAGACGAAGGGAACATGTGTAGTAGCAAAGCCAATACTGCTGCTGTTCCGGCTGCTGTGGACGATGGACAGACTGCGAGGAGTGGTGAAGGTTTGGCTGAGACTGAAGCAGAGGTGGATGTTATTCTGGGGGCAGAAAATGATACCGAGGCTGAAGCGGACGTTGAAGGTGAACCTGATCCTGAGGATGGAGGAGGAGCTGTCGGTGGGAGGAGCGAAGGAGAAGGAGGTGGAGGACAGATGGCTGAGGGAATGGAGGTCAGCTCGGTTGTGTCGGACATGGAGGAGGAGGGAGGAGACGACGAGGAGAACGAGTCTGAGGACGAGGAGGTGGAGATAACAGGGCCCATAAAGGAGAAGATCTTTGGCGAGGCGAATGCTGGGTCAAAGAGCAGAGGGATGAGGAGAGAATCCAGCAGGCTAAATGCAAAGAGGAAAGACGATAAGGAGAAAGCGGTGGAGAGAAGAAGGGTGAAAGCGAAAGGAGGAGCTGCAAAGGGTCCGGACAAAAAATAAATAGAATGAAAAAAATAATAACATTAATAACACTTGTAATGGTGACAATTTCCTCTTTTAATGGGAATGGGCTGAGGTCAAAGGACAGGAGAGAGCAGGCCTTAATAATATGCGACTCAGACATCATTTGCTTGCAAGAGACACATTGGGATGAAAGGTGTGTGGAGGATGTAAGGAAAGAATGGATGGGAGAAATGTATGTAAATAATGGGAGTGTGGGTGCTAGAGGGGTGGCAATATTAATTAAAACAGGGGTGGTAACGAATATAAGGAAAGTTAAGGATGATGGTGTTGGGAGAATGGTTGGGATAATGTTTGAATGTATGGGGGAAACATTTAATTTAATAAACGTTTATGCACCGAATGAGACAAGGAGGAGGAGGGAGTTTTTTGAAGGGTTGAAGGATAAATGTGGGGGAAAATGTATGATTGTTGGTGATTTCAATGTGTGGTGTTCGAAGCTGGATGTGTCTGTGAATAATAGTGATTCATCACGTGGTGCACTCAAAACAATAATGGGGACAAATGGGCTGTTGGATGTGTGGAGGGAAAGGAATAGTAGGGAGAGGGTGTTTTCTAGGAATCAAGTGGTGGGAGGGATATTAAAACAGAGTAGAATAGATTTAGTGTGGAGTAATTTAGGGGAGAAAATTGAGAGAATTGAATATAGGAATACTGCCATGAGTGATCACAACATATTGAGTTTCTGCATTGGAACAGTGAGAAAAGGGAGGGGGGGGGGGGGAGTGTGGTGCTTAAATGCCTGTCTGCTGAAGGATGATGGATATAAGGTTAAAGTGAGAGAATGTATAGAAAAAAGGGGAGGTTTGAATGGTGAGGATGTGGGAGTGTGTTGGGAGGGGTTTAAAAATGAAATAAAAGGGATAAGTATAGGTTTTTGTAAAAATAGGAATAAAATAGAAAGAGAGAAAGAGAAAATGGTTAGGGAAGAGTTAAAGGTGGAAGCTAAAAAGGTAGATATAGAAATAGGGAGAGATATAGATGAGTATAGTCGGTTGAAGGATGAGTTGGGGGAGATAGAGAAGAGAAAGTGTCGAGGTGCTATAATAAGAAGTAGGGCTAGGTATGCAGTTGAGGGAGAGAAAAGTACAGGGGTTTTTTTGGCGCTAGAGAAGGTAAAGCAGAGAAAGAATAATATAGAGAGGGTTGAAGGAAAGGGAGGAGAAATAATATCAGATTTTGTAGGGATTGCTGAGAGAGTTGAGGAATTTTATAGGGAGTTATTTGAGGCGGAGGAGATTGATAGGGAGAGCTTAGAACAGGTGATAGATAGTATGGAAGCGAGATTGAGTGATGAAGGTAGGGACATATGTGAGGGGGAGATAGGATTAGGGGAGATAGAATTAGCTATAGCAGGTCTGGGTAGGAATAAGAGTCCAGGGATAGATGGTCTGACGTCTGAATTCTATGTAGAATTTAGGGAGGGGTTGGCACCAATACTCCTTAAACTGTACAAGAGCTTGGAGGAGAGGGACGAATTGCCGGCAGGCATATCTACAGGGATAATTAGTATATTGTTTAAGAAAGGAAATAGGGAGAAGTTAGAAAACTATAGGCCACTTAGTATGTTAAACA